TGTTTTTGAAAACACATGCGTTCTTATTCCGGTTATTAGCCTAGAATTACTATGTGATGCGCACAACACACAATTATATACTAGATCGCCTAAGTTGGAACAAAACATCTCATGTTTGATTGAAAATGATTTGAAGGTGCTACTCGCAAGTAGGCTAAGACGTAGATTTGCCACCCTCGAATGGGCTTAGAAAACATGATTTTGCCACTCTTAAGTGGGCTTAAAACTTCATTTCAATGAATTGTTCCAATTCAAGTAATCCAACCTTCACACACAGGCATTCAGGCAGTTTAACACATAAGCAGTTAGCCTCATGGCAAGCATGCTGTCATGGCAACACTCACACTTATGCAAGATGCTAAAGCATAAAAGCGTACCTAGTACTCCAAGCCAAAACAGTAGCTAGTTAGTAATCAATGCATGATCCTAGCTATGTTAAGATGGCTAATGCAACACATGCAAAATGCAACTAGAAATAGGCTTGGCTATTCTAAAATGGCATGTGAATGCTACACTTGATACATGTATTCAAATTGGAATTGAAATATAATGCAGTTAGTATGATGCACCGAGCCCGGTGCATGCAATACGAATGAATGAATGCAAACATCCATAGCATAAGGATGCTACTCAAAACATGACCTAAAACTAACCACCGTAAGCGGTTAAGTAAAAGGGAGGAAGACGTGGGGTTGGAAGACATTCACACACTCACGCACACTTATTACAAAATTTGCCCTCTCGATGGAGGGTTCGAATGAATAATACAAGCTAGCTACGCTAAGCTATTCTAACTAATCTAATAATCTAATTAGACTAATTATTACATAATCAAATTGAATATTAGCTAAGCTAAGCTAATTAAGAATTTACAGCAATAAATTAAATTAGCTAACACATTAACTAATTAATTACAAATTAACTAACTGTATAAAACAGTTAAAACGGCCTCGAGAAGAGGGGCATATGCATGCTCGGTCAGCTTCGCTCGGAAATCTGTTGCCATACCTCATGTTGCATCTGTTTGCACTGTTCTGCACCTCTGAAAACTGCACAAATCTCCAACACACTTTTGATTCACCCTATGGGCATGCTGAAAGGTTATCGACCAAGAGATATGGCCATCGGCCGGAGAACAATGGCCATCGACCAATCTTTATGCTATCGGCCAAATATTGTTAGCCGATCGGCACTGAAAATAGTTGACCGGCCATCTTTTCCTGCAGAATACTCCTTTTGCTGCAGCAGAGGACAAACAAGGGCATGGCAATACATTTGCAAGAAAATGTTGTGCAACTACACCCCTTATCATGTTTGGAACTCAAAGGAGTGTAGTGTTCGACCCTCGGTCCATCAATCACGCATTTCGATGCATGATGGCCATAGAGGCTGAATTGCACAAATCAATATGGAATGAATGCACAAAAACTCATGAATGCACAAAAACTCATGAATGCCTCACACTCTATCATGTTGGATCAAGAGTGTCGGCGATTGAGGGTTGAGGCACGTTTCGTCACTTCAAGTACGAAACGTCCCTCGTTCCTCGTGTTTGGTTTGACACTCCAAACCCAACACAATGCAATGCAAGCATATTAGACGCAATGATAATGGCATGCAAACCGTGTAATACAACCTAAGCATGTAAACAAGCTAATGTAACAATCATGCACAATGCAGTGCAACCTAAACATGCAAACATGTAATGTGCCAAGCATGCAAAATGCAATGCAACCTAAACATGCAAGCATACAATGTAATAGGCATGCAACAACAATATCAACAAGAAGCATGCAACAACACACAAACCGCATGATCTATGGACTTATACTGAAAATGGATAGACCTCATCCATACCAAAAATAGTGGCCAAAATGCCAAGGAATGACGGAATAAAGTGCGACACAAGCATGCATGCCAATTGGCCTATCACTTAGGCATAAGGACACAACTCTCAAACATGAGCAAGGAGTGACAAACATGATAATGTGGCAATGCAATGAGCTCTGAAATCATGTGAGGAATGATGCCAAATCATGCACACAAGTCAAGCATTGCATGCAAGAAAGCTCAAAACTCGAAACTAGCAATGGGGTTCACACCAAGGCCATGCTAGGCAAGCCCCAAAGGGCCAAGGGCAACCAAAACAGTCCTAAGGAAGGTCGACACAAGACCAAAATCATGCTCGAACCTAACCAACACAAGCTAGAACAAAAGTCCAAAAGGCATGAGGCATACAAGGCTACAAAGGGGTGTTACACTACACCTATTAAGACCAAACATAGCATGACTTAACCAATGAAAATCAGAGTTATGACATGTTAAAATAAGCCCAAAAACCCACTTAGATGGCATCCCAAAGACCTAAACATGGAGGCATGCATAATGATCCATTCATGAGGCATAAAACACCAACTCTTCAAAGCATTAAAGGAGTGACAAGTATAAGTGTATGACCACTCTATATGGACTGGAATCACATATGAAACGATGCCAAATCATGGAAATGGTCCAAGTAATACATGCTAATGACTTGGACACTTAAAGCTAACAAGCTAGAATGCATTGTAGCTATACAAAGCATGGCATATATGATCAGAACAATACAAAAAAGAGCTCAAGCATGGTAAAACATGACTAAAAGCTTCTTTGAGTCGAGCCAAAATATGCAAGCATGATGTTCCAAATGCATGATGCATATTAAGGCAAATGAGAGGATTGCAAGACAAGTGCATGACGCATGTAAGAGGCTATCAAACCAACTTAAAATAGGGGTATAACATGGCAAAATAACACCAAATACTTGCTGAAATGAAGCCAAAACATGCTAAGCAAACATGCTACCAATATTAGCCATAAATACAAGCAAATGAGACACAAGGAGAGAGGGGTGTCCCTTTCCTATACAAGACTCCAAAACCACATTTCCACCACTAAAAATCCTCTGAATTTCAGTGGTAGAAAGGTCAAAGAAAGAGCAAGAACAAAGGCCAAAAGGGATGGCTCAAAACAAGGCCAAACAAGGCCTAAGAGGGGGTAGACAACCCTTAACCAAAAAGTGACCTTAAACAAACATCTCAAGCACACAAAAACATAAATTTTTTCAGTTTATAGTTAAGCTTAAAACAATATGCAAACAGGTCTAAAAGTTTAAGCCAGAATGGGGGATTAAAAGGTAGTCTACTCACGCTTGAAGAACACATTCAAGAACACAACTCTAGCACCTTTCTCTGACCAAAACCACTCCAAGAACTCTAAAACCAACTCCTAAGGACCTCAGCAACCAAAGGATGGTGTTCTACTAGGTGTTCTAGTGCAAAAGTATGAACAAAATGCACTTTCAAGCACAAACTCACACAAATATGGAGAGAGAGGGAGATATAGAGAGAGATATATAACTTCTATGTCAATTTTACTGAACCCCTGAGAAGGGAGGAGGAGCTCCCTTCTTATAGGAATTCAATTCCAAAGCTTCTTGGAGAAGCTAGAACAAGGTGCAAATCCGTGTATGGAGGATGGGAATTGTGCCCACCAATTGTCACAGCTGGCAGAAAATATCTGTAAAAAGCAGATGGAAAGGTCTCGGCTCAAAAATATGGCCGATCGACCAAACAATGTGCCGATCGGCCACCACTTTTGGCCGATGGCAAGAAAACAAGGCCGATGGCATTATGCCTTGGCCGATGAGTTGAGGGGATAGCCAACAAGCTACCCTCTTCCCTCAGAAGCAAAACCACAAGTCCTTGGTCCACAACCAAGCACAAAACAGACAAGTTGAGAGATCCTAAGGCAAAGCCTACAGCCAAGACCTTCGGGAACTCAAGACAAACACGAACATGGATGATCATCGAGTGTTCAAATGATGACGTCCAAGTCTTGAGGACGGTAAAAAATGGGGTGTCTACAGTTGGCATTTCTCCCTTCTGGGTGACCTGCTTCATCGACGAGGAGAGTGACGCCTCTCATGCTCAGCAGATGCTCTAGCCTCCGTTCGGGGAAGTTCGCCACCTCGATTCATCGAGTCTAGCTCCGTCAGTGTCTTACCTTTCCCTTTGCTATTGAAGAATAATCTGCTAGACATTCACTCTTCACTGCAGGGTTGAGTTTTGTTTAGTTCCTCATACAGGGTTGAGTTTTGTTTGGACACAACCCCCTCTCTAAATAATTCATGGGCGCACCGTGTTCCCGAGGCGACCTCATTAATGCACACATTCCGTAAGTCGCCGACTTTCGACTTTCCAGCTTCACCCCCGACCAAGGCAAATCTCTTAATACAAACGGTCAATGGCTCTCCACTCGAGTCGGCCAAATCCCTTGGCCTTAAGCCAAAAGGATCATGCCTCAGCCATTCCATGAACGAGTCCTATTCGGCTTATAAAGCTCATGCACTGGCTGGGGTAAGAGTAGATTTATTAATCTAATCGGCCAAGTATTTAAACCCAATGCCGATCGATTTATGCCACAACCATTCCAAGAACGAGTCCTATTCGGCTTATGAAGCTCATGAACTGGCTAGGGCAAGGGCAGATTTATTAATCTGATCGGCCAAATATTTAAACCCAATGCCGATCGATTTATGCCACAGCCATTCCATGAACGAGTCCTATTCGGCTTATGAAGCTCATGCACTGGCTGGGGCAAGGGCAGATTTATTAATCTAATCTGCCAAGTATTTAAACCCAATGCCGATCAATTTATGCCCCAGCCATTCCATGAACAAGTCCTATTCGGCTTATGAAGCTCATGCACTGGCTGGGGCAAGGGCAGATTTATGCCGAAAGGATTGTACCTTAGCCATTTCACGAACTGAACTCATTCGACGGTCCAGTTCATATCTAAGGCAAGGGCAGATTCTTTAAATCTTAATCATTAATATCTCCCAACTTTTGATTCATCCATCTTTTTAATAGAATAATTGTCTATTCATTCAATTAAGTACAGGAATAACACAAAACAAGGGAAAATTTTATTGATAAACTGAATACAGACAGAGTATCACTTTATACATGAAGATCACCCTGAGTAAAAATAAAATAAAGGAAAATACATTGAAAATCATAGGCAAAAACAACTAGTGTGATGTCGTAAATCAATCCTCAGGGTCCTCGAGGTCAGACTCCAGCGGCTCGATGTCCACTTGCTCATATGGAATTGGCATTGCCAATGTCACATTTGCAGCAACAAGGGCTTTGAGCCAGCCGTGCTTGAATCCTCGGTTTTCAAATTTAGGAGCTTCCTCCGCGTAGCTTTCAAGGGCGGCGTCTTGCCCGGCCTCGTACGCCTTGGAAGTCTCGGAGTCGGCTTTTTCTTTTGCTTTCTTCAATTCTTCCAATTCGTTCTCCAACTTGCCAATCACCTCTTGGGCTGACTTGAGCGCTTCATCGCTCGCACTTGCCCTCTGCTCGGCGACCAATCTCTGCTCTTCAGCTTTTTTCGCTCTCTCCATTTCGGCCTCTGCCCTTGCACTCTTCATCATCGCCCTTGCCGCCTCAAAGTTGGCCCTACTCCTTTCGCCCTCCACCTCCGATCTTAAACGACCTATTTCTTCGACGGCGTCGTGCTGACGCCGTCCTATCTCGACTATCTTGCCGACTGTCTGTAAAACAGAATGTTAAAACCAAAACAAATATACGCAAAAACGTAAAAGATAAGATCAAGATATATACTAGAAGAGCTGTCTGAGCAGCCAATGCAATTGCTAACACGTCCGACTCTGAACAGAAAGCCGTCTTGTCTGCCGGCAACAAAACCGACGAAGCTAGACTCAACGCCACGACTGGGTCTTTCACAGCCGATGCGTCAGATGAGATCGACATGTTTTTTATCTTCGACTGAACCACAAAAGGAACAACCATGTCCGACTCCTCTAAGCGAGGCCGTTTTTCGACTGGGATTTCTTCAGAGACGGCCTCAAAATCAGCGGGCCGCTTTTCCCTACCCTTATCAGCCTCTGGAGTCAAACATTTAGCTGACCGTTCGGTCTCAACAGAAACAATTTGGGCCGTTTCAACAACGACAACCGACTCGGATGATTCAGGGAGGGCAGTTTTAGAAGTAATGGCCTTGGCCTTCTGACGGGCGGCCAAACAATCAGCATTCTTTTTTCGAGCCAGTTTAGAAAGAGATTCCTTCGCCATACCCTCAGAATAGGAGCCGGACAGATCTTCTAAACCAGTAAAAATATCTCCAAAGGAAAACTCCCCCGACCTGAAGTGGATGGTGAGTTAGGCTGGTTAAGACCGGCTGCTTCAAACGCTGAGTTTAGAGCCTCGTTGACCTCTTCGGCCTCCGCAGCAAACTCTCTCGTTGGTTCGGCAACTACCTCGACCACCGGCTCTACGTCTCACTCTGAATCAGATGCTTCGAAACCAATTTGCCTAAGGGTCTTGAAGCTGGGGAAGACAAGAGCCGTAAGATGCTGTTCGTCGGTTGGGATCGGAATATCGTCCGCGGCCGAGAACGTAGGATAAATAGGCTCATACCGCAGGAGTATATGGGCGACTCTCCCTTGCTTCTGTACGTTTGTATGGCCAAAATACTTTATTGCAGTCTTAATTTCCGCAAGGACTGCCTCGTCGGCCGAAGTCAAAATCTTCTTCAACTTATTGCCTGCATAAACAAAGGATTAGACCGGGAGAACAAGCCGAGTAAAAGAAAGATCAATAAACATGAGGAGTTACACGGCAACCTGGTTTACCCCTCTGTCTGGGTATAGGGTCTAGGTGATCTTCGCCTTCGCCAAATTCCCAGTTGCCTCGAACATTGACCATCACATCATCAACTTGTTTGCCAGAGCTGGCAAGCATGGTTACCAAGTGATGGTCAGTGTCCTTGGCCCTGAGAAAGTAGCGCCGAGCCAACCGGAGGATTTGGCTAAAGCATAGCAGTGCCAAATGGCCGGAATGCCAAGGTTGATCCTAAGGCGCCGGTTTAACTCTACGAATCCCATGATGATTCGAAAAAAATTCACATTGAGTTGGGAAGGAATCAGACCCCAATGGCGGAGGATGGCCCTAAGGAATGGGTGTAGGGGAAAACGGACTCCGCCCTCCGCAATGGATAGGAGAGGAAAGACGATTGTATTTTGATCCTCCCTCTCCATATCAAGAGTATTGTCCGTCACTAGAGATAGGTGAACACCATCAGGGATAGAAAAATGTCGTCGGAATCCCGAAATATGACCCTCGGAAAAGGAGGTCTTTTTAAGTGCTTAGCCATTCTAGCGAGGACTCAAGGGTATGCCAAATCTAAAATAAACATGGAAAATAGGATTACAAAGAGAAGAGAAGAAAACTTACGAGAGGCAAAGGAGATAAGGAGAGACGGAGAGGAGTTGCAGAAAACGCGGGTCAGAGAAGGGATACCGACTGGCGATCCAGGAGGCTCAAATATTCGAAAAAGCATGCATTCGAAGGGACTGGAGTTTCAAATCGTAATAAATGCGAGAGATGCACGAATGAGGCGAGAAAGTGTAATGATGACCGAAAGGTGCGTGTGTTCTGACATTTACATTGGGATAAGTGAAGCCGCCTAACTTATGTCTCTCTTGACTTTTCAAATTCGAAACCAAACACACCAATTAACTACCGTCAATGGGGAGTTTGGGGGGCAATTGTGGGAGCCGGATAAATGGCGGAATTAGAAGCGTACACTCTAGAAGAAAGATATTACTCGGCTCTATCCTGCACGATCAGGAGGTCGAATACAATAGATAGGCCAAGTATCTATTGAACTATGGAGCCGAGTAAATAAGAGGATAATGAGTGAAAATAGGAAACAAGTATAAATAAAGAAACAACAGACTAAGAAAGGTATGTGAGAATTAATATGCTTTACTTGAAATACAAGTAACCGAGAGAGAATAGAGACTGACTTGTCCATCAGAGTGCTAATTCCGGCACCCCCGACCGGAGTGCTCATTTCCTTTCAGGTGTCTATTTGAGGATCAAGAGCGTCCCCCGGGACCAGAAGAGTATTTCCAAACCACTTCTCCACAAAATCTATGACCAATGTGGTAATACACTACAGGAAATAAGGGTTTTTGCGGCGTTTTTTTAACGGCGTTTTTTTAAATGTTATTTTTGTTAATATTTAATGACATTTTAAAAACGTCATATATTTCTATAACTAAAACGACACCGTTTTATAATAAAAGGCGTTTAAAAACGCTTCCAAATGCGGTACCCCACACGCGCTATTTGGAATCTGAGAATATAAGCCTTTTGTAAACCCTCAGCCCTTCGGACATAAACCAACATTGAATTCTCACCTCGCCTCTCTCTCAATCATCTCTAAACCCTTATTTTGAATCTCACCTTCAAATCTCACAGATTCACCGATTTTGAAGCTCCACCGCCACCACCATCTTCACCTGCGAGGTAGCGAGATTCACCAATTCATCGATTTCACAGATTCACCGATTCAAATCTCACAGATTCATCGATTTCAGATCGGTCTGCACCGCCACCGCGATTTCGATTCTCACTCTAGATCTCTCTCTCAGAGATTTATCTTTGATTTCATCTCAGAGCGATTTCGATGTCTCTCTCTCGATTTCGAAGCACCACCGCCACCACCATCTACACCAGCGAGGTATCGATTTCTCTCTTGGCACTCACGCTGGTTCTATTTATATTGTTGATTTTCATCGACAATCGCTTCTTCTCCGTGTTTGTGTACTGACAGAGTCCATATAAGTCCATATAAACCCATAATTAGAATAATAATATTCAAATTCCATTTGATGATGAATATGATTACTTGGTTTGTGATATAAACTTTATAAAGTTTGAACCATAGTTTGTTGTCATGATATGCTATCTAACTGCAAGTCTTACCACTTTTCTTTGTTTATTTCTCTCCTATTGACATGTTTTTTTTCTCTCTTTTTTTCAAGTAACTTTTAGATGTTTTTTCCCATCAAGCCCAGGATATATGAAATACTAATTGTTTGGTACCTATTTAGAATAATAAAATGGCAGATACTTCTGCTGCTCAAGCTAGGAGAGGTAAAGATATCCAAAGAATTCCTTGGGAGACAGTAATATTTTAATTACATTTTACTATAAGGCATGCTGTGTGTTTTCACTCATTTTAATTGCATTTGTATTGGCAATCTTCTACTATTTTAATTAGCTAGAAAAATGCTGATACACAAAACATGGAGTTAGGTTTTTTGTACTGTGGTTGGTTGATCTGAGATGTATTCAGCTTGTGCTATGCTGTTTTCAAACTTTGAGAGCATCTTTATCATATGCATTACTCAGTTGAACTGAGGTGCATCTTAAGGCAGGGCATATTTGAGAGCATTTTTATTTAATGGAAAAAGAACAATGATGTCAAGCCTTATACTGCAAATTTAATGCAAATTTAACTATTTTGAAATTTCAGTTTGATGTAAAAGCTCCTTGCTCTCATTCTTTATTTTGAGTATAATTGTATGCATTGTTGTTTGTCCTTATATAACATGAACATGTATAATTTTATGCATTATAGTTTGTTGCTTTTAATCTTATTCCAATCACAATTGGAAATTGACTTGGCATGTTGGAAATTGCAGTTCCCTTGTTCGGCTCGAATTGCTCCCACAATGTCAATATCATAGGTTTAATGCTGCAAGTAAGATTTGTTAGAGTTTGAATAGAATACTGTAATGATTTGTGAATGAGTTGGTTTGGGGCTTACTCTTTATCTATGATAACAGCCTCTTGCAAGAAAGACTCAGTGCAAGCATTATCGTGGACACTTTTAACTTTGATTTTGCAAGTTGGTGCAACTTGTAGGACCACAAATAACACATCTGCAAGTAATAACAGTACAGTCACTACAGGAAAATGGGGATTTGATTTCTGTCATTTCTCAATTTTTGGTTAAGCATTATACACTAGGATAGTATTTACTCATGGTATTGACAGGGTTAATAATGCATTTGTTATGCTAAAAACCGAGTTGATGATCGGTCAATTCTGAACTAACTGCTTTCTTTTATGCTTAGCCTGGTCCGGATTCCATTGGAATCGTTGCTATTTCTCATGGTTGCACTGGTGTGGCAGCACGTGCTTACGGCCTGGTGGGTTTAGAGCCTACAAGGGTACGATAGTCTCCCCCTTGTTTCTTCTTTTTTGTAGTAGTTGTGGAGTTTATGTGAAGCATTTATCGGTTATGCTTCGCTACTTCCAGGTTGCAGAAATCCTTAAGGATTGGCCTTCGTGGTATCGCGATTGCCAAGCTGTGGATGTTCTAAATGTGCTGTTCTAAAAAAAAATGTAGAGTGCTCGTTCTATAATTAATTTGCCCATTAATAGATTGTTAAATTAAGCATCCCAAGATAACAAATGCTTTCCACTTTGTTCTGGAGAGCAATTGTTATGAAATTTCACATATTAGCAAGTGAAGTAAATTAAGATAATTGTTGTATATAGGTCTATCAACGCAAGTCTTGCCCAATCCTTTTCTACTAGTTCTCTGTATTCATGTTCTCATTTCGAGCTTAACATTTCTTTATCTGATCTTGCTGTACACTTTTCCTATATTTCAGAATGTGCCCCCTGCAATACTACTTAGATTCCTGCGGGAGCACAGGTCAGAATGGGCAGACAATAGTATCGATGCTTACTCAGCTGCAGCTGTTAAAGTTGGTCCCTGTAGCTTACCAGGGTCTAGAGTTGGAAGCTTTTCAGGTCAAGTTATTCTGCCACTGGCTCATACTATTGAGCATGAAGAGTCAAGTAATTTCATCTTGATTTCTTCATTATCTATTCCAAAATTTTGAATATTTACTTGGAATTTTGACATAGATTGTACATTTCATTTCATGGATATTAGTTATTGGAGGTCCTTAAGCTGGAAGGTGTTGGACATTGTCCTGAAGATGCAATAATGCCTAGAGACATGTTTCTCTTGCAAGTAAGTTTTGGTTCTTCATATCTTTGTCATATATTTAATGCTTGAATTATCACGGTCTGTAGGCATGTTGCCCCAACAAGCCTAAAGTTTTGGTTCTTCATATCTTTTGTCATATATTTAATGCATGAATTATCACGGTCTGTGGGCATGTTCCCCCCCAACAAGCCTAAAGTTTTGGTTCATATCTTCACAGAATTTTTTTTGGTAATGGGGATATTTTTAAATGTTACTACTAGTTCATTTTTACAAAGTCCTCGTTCTTTTTTTTATCCATTACTTTTTATGGCCCCAACCTTCTTGCTTAATGTCGTTGTTTATACTTTCCTAACAGCTATGGAGCGGAATGGATGAGAATGCTGTTGGCACCTGTGCTGAACTTATATTTGCTCCTATCGATGCCTCTTTTGCTGATGATGCACCTCTTTTGCCTTCTGGTTTTCGCATCATTCCTCTCGATTCTGGCAAGGTCAGCATCTAGAATTACGTTATAGTTGCTGTATTCGGCTATCATTCTTTCTCTTTTTTCTCTACTTTAAACTCTTCTTTGGACTTCCATTTATTTGATGAACTGGGACATTTTGTAGGAAGCTTCCAGTCCAAATCGTACCCTTGACCTTGCTTCTGCTCTCGAGATTGGACCGGCTGGAAATAAAGCATCTAATGATTATACTTCTAATGGTGGCAGTACAAGATCTGTGATGACAATAGCATTTGAATTTGCATTTGAAGGTATAGTGGAGCATGACTTTGATGTTTGAAGTTTTATATCTTCCTTGTGGCATTATTGGATTAGATTGTAATAGTGTGTTCGTAGATGGATGCCAATGAACACAAAATTTCTGAACTTTGCATACTCTATTTAATAGGTCAAATCAAGAGGAGTTTAAAAAATCTAGTTTTTGAATTCCGTTGTCCCGAAGTGTAGCAATTGGTCTTTTTGGGGGCTTAAAATAAATTTTTTTGGTCTCATTGGTCCTTGGTGTGTTCTTTCTTTCTTGACAGGTGCTATTTGGGAGTAGAGCTTCTCAAGTCTGGCAGTGAAGGAAGTGAAACCACCCTCAAAACCCTTTGGCATCACACAGATGCTATTATGTGCTGCTCTTTAAAGGTATGTGGCTTAAAATTTTCAGCTCTGTCTCTCTGTCTCTCTCTCTCTCTGTGACATGGGTCTTGAATTGTCTTCCTATGCTATTATTTTTAATTGTTTATTATTCACAGCTTCAAATTTAAAAGGTAATTTGACTTCCAAAAAGCTGAAAGATTTGTATTTTGCCAGAGTTTAAATAACCAGTTAAGCTAAGGACAAAGGGGTTGGCCTAATGGATGAGGCACTCCCTTAGTAGGTGTAATGTTTGGATTTAAGTCTTACTGCCACGAGTGCAGCTTTGCTTCCCCTATTCCCCTTGTATTGATTGTCAAAAAAAAACTCAGTTAATACAGAATAGAGGGTGATATGTCACAGTTAAAAATCCCAGTTAGTTTAGACCCCTAAAATACAAAAATTAGATAGCTTTTAATTACGCTGCTTCTACAAGCTTATTATCTTTACAATTAACTGTACATGCAGGCATTGCCGGTTTTCACCTTTGCTAACCAGGCTGGTCTTGACATGCTTGAGACAACCTTGGTCGCCCTTCAAGACATTACTTTGGAGAAGATATTTGATGATCATGGAAGAAAAACTCACTGCTCTGAGTTTCCACAAATTATGCAACAGGTTTGCAATTTTCTCTTGAATTAATCAATTGGATAAATAATAACTGAGATCAAGCAGATGATGGCTAACTGAACTAGGATCTGCTATTGAGATAACATTGATTTCAGACTTCAGTAGTATTTGAAAGCAACCAAACAACCAACATCTCTATTTGTTTCTGCATCCATAAAGAATGATTCATTGTGACAAATTGTCGTTGATACTAAAAGGATGAACCATGCTACTTTTCATAGAAACTTAATGAGGCATTCACCACATGTCAAACACAATCACCTATTAACTTTGCCTCTGCCAAGAGAGTGGTAGGTGTAAATTTTAATCCCAGTTCACTTTAGTATGTCCTAAATATTAAAAAAATAATAATAATTGTATGCCATATACATTTAGAGTTTTCCATTTGTTCTGTCTTGAGTAAACTTTGCCCCATTTGTTTTGATAGAAAATATTTTTGTGGAAATTAACATTTTTAATAATAAATTTGAAGATGGGTTGTTTCAGGCAAAGAAGAAAATGGTTGAATTAGTACATAAAATCATCGAAGCGAAAAGGAAGAACAGAGGCAGATCAGAAGTTGCAAAAGATGTAGCTGATGTTTTGCTGAATGATGCAAGTGAAGAGCTAAATGATTATCTAATTTTAGATGTTTTTAATATTATAAGCCATATTAGTGTGCTTTTTATTCCTTTTTAATTTTTTTGGGCAAATTACACTTCTTGACCATTTTGATTTTAATTGATGTATTTAAAGTCTAAATTGTTGCTATTCTTAGGTATGCAATGTATTGTTTTTTATTTTTAATTTTGTTTTCAAGCTTAGTTTATTTATTATTTTAATAAACATCAATTATTAGTTTGACAGGTATTTTTTTTTGTTCAACCATGTAAAATTAACAAAATTAAAAAATTAAAAAAAGGCTATGGCGGCGTTTAAAAAACGTCACTATATCCCACCCCAACGGTTAGATTTTAAAAATGTATAAATGTTTATGACGGCGTTTTCAAAAACGTCGCTAAATGTCGTAGTGACGTTATAGTACAGTTAGGTAGGACATTTGGCGGTGTTTTTTATATAACGACGTTTTTCAAACGTCATAAAGTTATAGCGACGGCCGCATCATCGGCGTTTGGTACTAAACGTCATAAAAAGAATTAGCGACGTTTTTAATACTTTTAGTGACGTTTTTTAAACGCCGCTAAAAATAAATTTTTCAGCAGTGATAATTGATGAAGTAAACAGAAATAAATCCATGACTAATGGAATAAACTAAATATAAATAAATTTTTATTAAATAAAAATTGTATAAAATAAAAAAAAAAGTGCAGGCAAGCCCTCGATAGGGTCAATTGCCCATATTACACTCTTAAGACTTGGATAATCCGAAAAAGAAAATTCAATGGTAAAATTTTTTATATTCAAATGAACTGTAAATTTTTATTTTTTAAGTTTGACTCCTTTTCAGTGTTGCACTTAGTCTTAATTGATAAACGTGAATCACTCGACCGTGTCTAATTTAAAGAGGTTCGTCATAAAAATAAATACATAAATAAAGTCCACAGGTAGCTTTAATTTATTTCTTCATATCCACTGGCTGAATAAACATGAATTGAAGAATTCAAGTTTAATTTATACTTTAAAATTTCTACACAATTAATTTCCTAGCAAACAAAACCAAGGGCACTCTATGAATTGAAGTTGATGTATTGAGGTTCCCATTAACATTTGCTACAAAAAAATATTTAAAAAAAAAGGAAAAGAAGGAATGGCTCAGCTACAACACTCGCTTGCGTTTTCTGTCTTCTTGTTGATCATAATCCTCCTCAATTTGTCTGAGATGTCGCTACAACTAAAAGATAGTAAGTGTAAAACAATTTTATTCTTACTTTATTTTTATAAATTTAACTTCTAATCTATTCATTTAGAAATCATTTATCCAAAGTAAACCTTATTGTCATAATAACAATTTTGGGATTATTAATCAATCTTCTAGGTTTAAATTGTATATACTATGCTAACACATGCTCTTTTTTTCTTTTCCTTTTTTCTTTTATTGCAGCTATAACCCCATCCGGTTGGGTGTGCAAGAGTATCCCAAGCCGTGCTCCGGGTGCCTGCTTAACTTCCACTAATGGAGCTCCCTAAGTTCACTCTTCTACACATATGCACTCAAAATTAATAACCATGAATAAATAAAATGTAATAATATCAGCTTGTAAGCCATATATATATATGTTCTATATATGAATAAATAATAATGTAATAATGAAACAATGTTTGGCATTAGTTTTGGTGATTATTCCTCTTTTTTCATTTATGTCCCCCATTGGACACAAGTTAATTTTTGATCAAACGCCTAAAATTTGGAACTACTGAAATGAAAGCAAAAATGACGGATTGTTAACCAAAATGCTTTGTGTTGTTGAACTAATATTATGTAATCTAACAATTGATGAAGAACTAAGTTTTAACTAAAATATAACAACATAAGAACTTCATAAAATTAATTGTGAACCAGATTGTTATTGAAATAAAACATCTTACAAGGCCACTTGATTACTATGTTGATCTAAAATGGCTAAGATGTGGAGTTAACTACTGGGAGAACTAAAACTAAACTTGAGCTAATGGTTGAGATCATATACTTTTTTCGATAGTAATGACAACAATTTGTTCAAAATGATTGGTGCTGGTAATTTAGAAGACTAATAAAACTCCACTACAATTTCCTCATCGTGGGCGCTTCAATTCACACACACATTTGTCATAGTATGCACTTTATTTATTTATTTTGTTAAATAGTAATTCTTGAACAAAAAATAATTATTCTGATATCAATATAGAATAAAACCAATTATTGGGATATCAATTAACCAACTGGATTTTTGCTACTAAGGAATGAAATTGGGGTATTTTTTTTTATTATCTTTCTAATCAATATTTTTAATATTAGTTTAAGAATAAGTAAAATGTATTTGTTTTTTTAAGGACAACATTATTTTTTTTTCCTAGACAAAATTGCCATGTCTCATTACCCCCACAATCTCCAATCGCCACTAACACCTTCAACCGTTAACGACAACCTTCTGATGATTACTTCCAGTTGTTGGCGATCATTTTACAGTGACCATTTCCAGCGACTCTCCAACAAATTGAAATTTCATTATGTTAAATTAGTGAAACTTCACTATTTTCAAACCAGCAAAAAAAAAAAAAAAAAATCAATTAATAGTTAAAAATTGAAAAATTGAAAGTCAGTGACATTTCACTGTTTCCGAATAGAGAAATTTTCAATTAATGGCTAAAAATTACAGAAGTGGAAGTCAATTGAATTTTTATTCATAGACTTTACCAAAATTTCTTCAAAAATGAATTGGATTCTCATTGTCTTAGCACAATGATAACTACATACAGCTGTCGGTGATCATTTCACAGTGACTATTTATGACGACTCTCTAACAAATTGAAATTTCATTATATTAAATAAGTGAAACTTCACTATTTTCAAACTAGAAAAAAAAAAATCAATTAATAGTAAAAATTGAAAAATTGAAAGTCCGTGAAATTTCACTATTTCCAAACAGAGAATTTTTCAATTAATGGCTAAAAATTACAAAATTGAAAGTCAATTGAATTTTTATTCTTAGACTTTACTAAAATTTCACTTTAAAAAATGAATTCGATTTTCATTGTCTCAGTGCAGTGAAATTTCTCTAACTTTAATGAAATTTTTTTAATTTGAATAGTGGAATCTACTGACTTATAGGTGAAACTTCAATTTTAGAATACAATTAGATTATACAAAGTTAATGAAATTTCACTGATCAAGTACAATTAAAACATCACTGACCAAATACAAATAAGCTTGTTTGGTTCCAATTCTTTGAATTCAATTTTCTAAAAAATGAGTTTTTATTTTTCATGTTTTTAGTGTTTTTTTTTTTGTGTGGATATTTTAAGCAATTTTTTTTTTTACTTTTTATATGCAAGTAACCTTTAAATAATCAATAAATACACAAGAATATGAAAATGTATTGAATTTTTATATTTTGGGAATTTAGTGAATTTTTTAAAGATTTTTTTTCACAAATACTATACATTTTAATTGTATTTATATTAAGTGTATCTAAAAACTAACAAATTTACTTAAAATATTAGAAAATCATTAAAAATAAAAAAATACGAAAAAATATAATCAATTTTAAAAAAATTAAATTCAAAAAATTAAAACCAAACAAGGTGAGTAATACTTTCTTGAGTAAATATATATGAAAGCTTTTTAAAAAAAATTCCCTTCTTAATCATGTATATGATTGAATCGTGAATCCCAAAATTGTTGGAAACTAATTTTCAAGGTGGTAGATTTTTTTATAGATCTTTTATTCTTTCGTTATTTCTATGCTTTGATATTATGTATATAGTTACCGAATTTTTGTGAAAATTTTGGAGGAAGGATGTATTTAATGCATCACATTTATAGATATACATGCATTTGTGTGTGTTTGAGTAAGCATATAATTGTGTGATGTCGTAGATCTTTAAAATAATATGTCTAAAAGGTTCAATCACTACCATGAAAATATACTTTACACCTAAGTTAAAAAAGATACATGAGATAGCGGTAATACACATTATAAACAATGCAACATCATGAAAAAATCAAAATGATGTATGTCACAATTCAAGAAGTCATCTTTAAAAAGATGGAAGTAGCAATCAATAGATCAACAATCACTACAGGAAATATGTGTCCAGGTGGCGTTTTTTTAATTGCGTTCTTTTAAACGTCACTGTTTCTAATATTTAATGACGTTTGATAAACGTCGCATTTTTATTTAATGGAAACGACGTCGTTTTATGAATAGAAGGCCTTTATTAACGCCTTCAAATGCATTACGTCTCACGAGCTTCCTTTTTGAATATGAGAATCTTGACTCTCAAATTGTACTGATGCACTCTCAACTCTCCCTCTCTCTCTCTCTCTCTCTCTCTGTGTGCTGTCTAAACCCTAATTATCGCAGAGATTCAGTTGCTTATCAATGGAGTCCTTAGAAATCGAAGTTCTCTCTCGAAATCAAAGTGATTCATCAGAGCAATTTCGAAGTTCTCTCTCGAAATCGAAATCGAAGTTCATCTTAGCGATTCAGATTAGTGAGCTCCACACACTCTCTCTCTCTCTCTCTACTGTTTAAACCCTAATTATCAGAGAGATTCAGGTCGGTGATTCAGAGATTTAGATTGGTCTCAGCAATTCAGATCGGTGATTCATCAGAGCGATTTTGAAGTTCTCTCTCGAAATCGAAATCAAAGCTCATCTCACTGATTCATATTGGTGAGCTCCACTCTTTCTCTCTCTCTCTTTCTCTCTCTCTTAAGGTGAAATCAATCTTGTGGAATTCTATGAATGGTTTTGATATTTGACTTGAAACGATCCTGTCATATCCTTCATGCTTGTTCAACAATTTGAGCCAACGCACTTTGCTCAAGGTAATTCCTTTCAACCCATTGTTTGTTTGTCGAGAAATTATAGGAAAATGAATGCAAGTAAATGCAAGGAAAATAGCATTCTGAAGTCTCAAGTTTCTAGTTTTGGCTTTCCAAGGAAATGAGTACTAGTTTGATGTCTAAATTTAGAAACAAAAAATTCCTAGGTTCAAAGTTCTAAAATTGTTTTGATTCTACTGTATTTTTTGAGCATCTAAACAGAGCAAATACATGAATAGTAGGTGTCAACTATATATTATAGGAAGTGACTAAGAAAAGCAAATGTTTCATCTTTGGTAGGAAAGGGTGAGTACTCAGGA